GAGGCAGAGGCGGGGAGGCGGTTGGGAGAGGTCAGGACTTATTCCTAAAGGGAGGGAGCAGGGCAAAACCCTCAGCGGAGCATGGAGAGGGACCAAGGACCATGGGGATCCTGGCTGGTCACAGGCCAGAGAGGGAGAAGGATCTTGGAGAGGTAAGAGTGGGACAAGACTTGTCCCAAGAAGCTCAGCTCAGATTGATAAGCTGGAGGAACAACATGCTTTTCTCTTGGCCAGGACTGAACGTGAGCCCACAACCTCCAGGCAACCCGACCGCACTGCTGCCAGCGGGGCAATCCGGTGCTGCCGAGCCAAAGGCTTTGCCGCTGTCCTTCGAAGCCACTCACACCCCCCCTCATCCACCACACGCTGGCAGCGGAGGTGTCTCGGAGCAACACAACACGCAGCAGGGCTTACCCTGCCCACAGGCTTACCTTGCTCCAGAGCCTCCTGCAGCCGGCAGCCGCTGGCCCCCGGGGTTGCGGGCAGGGGTCTCTGCACTCGGGGCCGGTGAGAAGGGACGGAGATCTTCACAGGTCCCACGTACTCCACGTACGTGCCGGGAAAGTCGCCCTTCTGCTTCGTCCGCTCGTTGACGCCCAGGATCCAGCCGATTTGATTGGGGGTCTGCTCATCCCCATCTTTGAAGCCCAAGGCTTGCAGGGCCCCCTTGCTCACCACCAAGATGTCCCCAGGCAGCAGATCAATGTCCTCCTCGCGCTCCTTGCGGTAGGGGTAGAGCGCTCGGTACTGGAACCCTTCGGTGCTGCCCATTCTCTCTGCCGCGGGGAGAAGGGCTCTGAACGGCGAGGCAGCACGTTTTGGGTGGGAGAGGAGGGATCTCAGAGGCAGCTCTCCCCCATCAGCACTCTGAACGTCTCTGCATGAACCAGCAACCCAGGAGCCTGGTCCGGGTGCCCCGGCGCACTTAGGTGCAGCCCCTTTTCCTTAGCTTGAAACCGCGATTCAACCAAATTATGGAGCAAAGGGAGAAGGAGACAAACATAATCCAGCACTGGTGAGCGGGCATGCAGCAAAGAAACAGGAGACCAGGGTCCGCTTCACCAAAAAAGAAGCAGGTTTCTTGGAGTCCTGGGGGCGAAAGCACAGCGGGCTTCCAGCCCAGAACGGCCTGGCATGCTACGTCTCCCTTCTCAGTGCCTGCAAAGAGAAGACGACTTGTCACTGCACAGCCAGGCACCCTGCACCCTCCCGAGACGCCAACATCCGAACTAGGGGTTCATCGAGAGGCAGGACTCCTTTCCCTCCGACCTGCCAGCTGATGCTGAGCCCTGGATCCGACCAGGACACGCTAATACCGATTTACGCTCCCAAAAGCAAGAGAGGAGCCAGCGGCTGCGGGCAGGAATACCACCTCCTCTCTGCTACAACCAGGCACCAGCTCTGCATCTTAAAGAGGTTCACTCCTGCTTCTCCAGCTTACCCTCCTCGCAGCACTTATGCAAACAAGAAGACAACAAATGGGACAAAACAGTCCTTTATGCAGGAACTTTTGCATACAGACAAGGGTGACCCTGCAACCACCAGCTGGAGGCCCTGAATAGGAGCAAAACAAACAGATTTAACCTTTCCTTGTTAAATCGATTAAATTTCACAGTTCACCTTTACATCTCCCCATGCAATCCCCCACAAAGTCATTTTCAGAAGGTAGCAGCCCACAAACGTAGGTTAACCAGGCTTTCAGCAAAAGGCTTTCGAGATGCTTTGCCGTTCCCACAGAGCAGCACTTCAAAGCTTTGCTCTGAGCAAAGTAAATTTTTGAACTTTTCAAAAGCAGCAACAGCATCAAGCGCAGGCACGGGTTCTTTTTGCAGAGATGGAGGTGAGAGGAGTTCAAATAATCTTTAGAAGCCTTCAAGTCTGGGTAGCTGAAAGGCAGTTAGGAGCTCTAAGCAGAGAGAAATTGAAGAATATGCTGCCCGCCCTGCCCAGAAACCCACCAAAAAGAATAAACCTGGGTTATAACATGTTGCTGAAGGGATGTGTGAGCTGGGGCATTCCCACCAGCCAGGCACGTCCTCATTTCCCATCCCCTCCCGGATGCACAGGCCAGTTTTCCACCTTCCCCAGGCAAATCCCAACATTCCGGATCCCACAGCCACAGCGTGCGGCCGAGGACCGGACTTAGGAGGCACCGGGGCAGCCAGAAACCGGCCTTCCCAGGGACACCCTACGCCTGCCGAAAGGCTGCAGGTTCTATTAACGGCTTGAGCTGTTTTGGCCCAGAAACCACCAAAGCCAGCTCAAACTCTTGAGTCTCATCTGAAAACGATTAGTGAGCAGGAAGGCACTTTGCAGGGCTGTGGGAGCCTCTGCAGAGGGAGGAGAGGAGGGAAAGGGAGCCAGGGCATCATTCCCAGTGGGGTCAATGCACAACCAAGCACGGCACGAAGCCAAGGCTGCTCTGACCGCTGGTTGGACTCCGTGAGAGTCGCTAACGTCGGTGATCTGCAGTATTTCAAAATAACCCTTCCAGGCTCCAAACCCCTCTTTCCTCCTGCACGCGTTACCATCCCTGCACGCTACCAGAAAGTCCACGATCGGTGCAAATCCCCGGAGAGGAGTCAGCTTCACCTCTCCAGCCCAGCACTAGGCTGCGGGCTCCTTCCCTTGACAAAGAAGAAAGGCACAAAGAGGCCGTGGCACGTGAAGGCGGTGCAGCAGCCAGAGCCCGCACTAGTTGCCGGAGCTCGGGCAAGCATCCCAGCTGGGCTGTCTTTGCCATGAACGAGCAGGCGCTGCCCTTGGGGAGGTAAGACACTTGCAGCCAGGCTCTGGCGGGTGGAGAACAGGACTGAGCCTGATCCGGGTTGCTGGAGAACTTCTCCGGAGCTCCAGGAGCAACACCAAGCTGCAGGATTCATGAAGAGACCCTGGGGACAGGGGGTCTTTGCAGGAGAAGCAGTACACCCCAGCACAGCCGCTGTGCAAGCTCCCACCACACCGGGATGGCAGCCGCAGGGAATTCACAGCGGAGCCTGCATTTCCCCAATCCAACCAGCTCCAGCCAGGAAAATATTACTTCATAATCCAGAGCATAAAGAGAGATTTATGACCAGGCTCACTGCCTGCCCCTCGCCCCTCCGAACGCTGCCTGTCAGGGTCTGACGGAGCCAAGTCGGCAGTGCCGGGGGCATCGTCTGATTGCCAGGGGCCCCAGCGGCCGCTGCCTCCTGGGAAAGGCTCCGGCAGCCCCATAACGCACCCAAAGGTGACAGTGCCCAACCCAGCAGGGTCGATGCTCCCCTGCGGGCACCTCCCCAGCTTCCACCCGCAGATCCCAGCCCCGACTCCAGGCACCTCAGACAAACCGGTGCAGCCAAAGAGGCTGGAAGGACAAAAAGCTCAGCCCTGGCAAACTCGTTCAGTAGCTTTTAAAAGCAGATCTGCGTGCAGGGGTGGGAAGAGGAGAGAGTTGCTCTGGAGCACCGAGTCTCTCCAAAGAGCAGGTCCCGCAGCTTCTGCCACACCACGCTGCTCCATCGACTCCTTCCAACCTCCTTCTCTGCGGTGGGAACGTGGAGATGCAGCTCTGTGCCACCCTGCTCTCCGCATCCCAGCGGGTCACTGGGTGTGTGAAAAAATAGAGATAACTTAGAGCCAGCCTGGTCCCGGAGCAGTCTCACCTGCCTTCCCTGCGCTCAGCCCGTATGGGGATCCAGTACCCACAAAGAGGGGTGAAGACCACCCTGGGAAACCCAAATCTGCATGGTTAACACCAGCAACTGTCCTCTCCAGGGGAAACGGTTGTCCTCTGTCCTGCCACGGACCCAGCGAGTGGCTTCCCAGGCTGAGCTGCGTGTGCGGGATGGCAGCCACCGGCCAGGAAAGCTCTGCACCCCCACAGAGCAGGGTGTCTTGGGGGAACAGGGAACGCACACTTCCCAAAGCCCCAGAGCAGCTCTCCGGAGGGAAGGCGAGTTGGGGAAGGCAGAGCCGACAGCCTGGGACACGCACGAGCCTGTCGGCTGGGAAGAAGCAAACCTCCGAGCCGGGGCTCTGCGTGCGCAGGGGAGCGGGAACAGCTTGCCAAAAGATTTCAGCTGGGCCCGGCTCCAGGTTTGCTCAGCTCTCGGAGAGGAACCTCGTGTGTCCGCGCTGGCGAGCACTTGCTTAGGCTGCTCTGAAAATCCCATGCATCAGACATCTAAATACCTTTGGTAAATCTATCTCAGCGCCCAGAAACAATCCTTCGATTCATTAACTGCTGTCAATACTTTCTTTGTTTAATACATCGGTTTGAAACAAAAAACACATTACAAGTCTTTTTGTGTGTGCCCAGCACATAAATAAAAGCATCTTAGCGTTTTAAATGTGGTTCCTGTGCTTTTTAACCCAGTTCCAAATGCAGTTCAAAGTGCAGCTTGACTCCAAGCGAGACTGAGCGTTACTTTCCCTCCAGTGAGGCGAAAGAATGCATGAAAATATTTAAAAGAAGAATATGCTTACAACAATCTACACAGCTCAAATCTTCCCAAGTTACATCAGATCCGTAGCGAGCAACAAACCACCAAATCAAGTTTTGAACTGCAAAACGCTACATGTTAATGGGTTACAAACAACGAGAACAAACCTTTCCTTTCATAAAAGAAAAAGAGAGAAAATAGGACAATGCAACTAGGGGTGGAAATAAAAATGGACACGGAACCGCCTGCCACATCACGCCCTATCGTGACAACTGCTGCTGCATCAAACCTTTCTGATCTACGCAGCCAGAGCGTCTCTGCTGGCCCCGGAGCAGAAGCCGGCAGTGCCGAGCATGCCGTGGGTCACGCTGCACCCACAAACACCCAAACCACCGAGCAGCACCGGGGCGGAGAGGGCAAGAGCTTGGGAACCCCTGGTTTATAATTTGGGACAGACAGCACAGCAATCTCCTGTGCTCCTGGGCAGCTTCCCGGGCCGGCTCCCTCCCCGGCCCTGCCGAAGAGCCTGAACGACGACTCGCCAGGCTTGAGGCAAAAGCCAGGC